AGAATTTTTGTCTGTCTGTCTGTCTATCTGTCTGTTACTGCATCACAGAAAAACCACTGGAGGGATTTTGATGAAATTTGGTATAATGATAACATATAGGATATTTTTACTGCGGGAAAATATCTCATTTCTAATATCCTTTACCTTTCATCAAAATCCCTCCACTGGTTTTTCCGTGATGTAGTCACAGACAAACTGACAAAAATTCTAAAAACCATAGAGTCGGCCTCTGTATCGATATATTAATGCTAATTTCAATAAGATTTAAAAAAAATATATTTAATATACAGATTCAACTCAGAATTTTATTATATGTATAGAAAATATTTAATGTACAGATTCGACTTAAATACAATTTTATTATATATATGTATAGATATACAATGTACATTGTACAATTATACATTAAATAACTTCTCAAGTCGAAATTTCAATAAAAGGGCGAAATACGTTTTGTTCAAGCTAGTAGTAACTTTAAATAAACTGAACCAATGAGAATAATAATGTGGCTGACAACCGGCTAGACTCTAAGAGGAATCGAGGGAAAAATAGTATTTCAGTCAACATAATTTGAAAACAGCCCCATTAAGATTAATATATAAAAATGGTAGATTAAAAATAAATCATAAAATTTATTTTATTTTTACCTTGCTTCCCAATTTAAACGTTCATGCCCATTTTTACCCCCTTAAGGGATGATTTCCAGGATAAAAAGTATCCTATGTCCTTCAAAGGGTCACTATCTGCTTACCAAATTTCATCTAAATTGGTTCATTAGATCCAGAGACTACCCCCTACAACGTCACAAACTCACAACCTCACAAACTCACAAACTTTAGCTCTTTATAATATTAGATTAAAAATTTTAAAATTGTCGACATAATTTGTTAAAAAATGTATATTTTAATTATAAAGTTATTATTTATTGCAAATTCAAATATCCAAAGCTATTTAAAGAATCCTACAAAATAAAATTGGCGGAGATTCCAATAAAAACTTTTTACAGATAGTTTCAGAACATTTTAAAATAAAAAAAAACGCTTGAGCTAAAAATTTTACTTCCTAATCCACATCGATGTAATACGACTTTTGAAGGGATTGACTGTATATGATTGGACTATTTCCCTCGAGTGGGATCATCAATTTCAGATTGATCACATCACTACAGCTATAAAAATGGGTTTATATTTAAAATATTTTTGTGTAAACTCCCTTACTATATCGAGGCTCTAATTTATAATTTTTAAGATTTCATATATGTATTGTTTAAAATATTTTACAGTTTTCATTCCATATTTTTATTAATTAAAAAAACATCGACGTTTAAAATATTGTAAAAAGTTTTAGAAGAGATTTTTTTTCTTCAAAATTTTTCTGGGGCCTCTGAGAAAGTCTTCTTCCTTTTTAATGAAAATTTCTTATAATATTCAATTATCAAAAATAACGGGTAAAATAAACGCAAAAAAATCCACCCGATTCGTACATAATACATTCATTTTTAAAATCAGACCGAAATTATAATAAATAATACTCTCATGATGCATTAAAGGATTAAATTAAAAATCAGACTTCATCTGTATTATACGTTCCATTTTTGTCATTGGATGCACAGAAAGAATAAAAACTACAAAAGTTTAATGGAACTGACTCGTACATTTTCACTAATCTGTGGCATTTATTGAATTAATAAAATTACCCCGCGCTGGAATTAAAGCCGTAATCTCCGGAAAACCAGTTAGTACCGACCAAGCAGATCACGACACGACATCCATCAAGCGGTACGATCGTATCGTTAGGTGTAAAACACCGGCCACTTCTCAATTTCAATGAGACTCAGTCTACGCTTTTTCAAGCCAGCAAAAACTCCCGAGTGCCCTCGAATCTGCCACTTCCGGTAGCCATATTGCGTTTCCGCCACTCGACATCCGAGAATTTCCTGTTTCGCGCTCGCCTCGCATTATTTTAATCTATATTTGATAGTTGCGTCGACGGCTTTTTTTATATTTTTCACCTGAATTTAAAAAAAATTGAGTGGTGTGTAAAAAGTCTCTCGTATTGAAGGAAAAATTGTTAATGCCACAATATTTTTTTGTACTTGAGTTATAAAATGTGTCAGATTAACTACATAAAAATATTTGAATTATCTTTCATTTTAGGCAATACTGATAAATTTTAGCATGTACTTAGTAGCCTACATTTTTGAAATGATTATATTCTATTGTATTATATTCAGTCCATTTTAACGTCCCACTGCTGGGGTTGGGCCTCCCTTCAAAACGAGGGGCAACAGGCCATAGTCCACCACAATGGCCAAGCGCGGGCGGATTTCACAAGTCTTTGGAAAAATTGCTAGGTTTTCTCAAACATGCAGGATTTCCTTCACCGTTTGACAAGTAGTAATCATGTTGTAAATATTATATTACGAGCTAGTGACAAGCAAGTAAGAAATGAAACTCACTGGTGTAATTTGACCCTTTTATATCACAATAATATTAAATTTTATATTAATAATAAATAAATAAGATCCGAAGGTATTGGTTTCGAATATCAAGCCGAGTATAGTTCTTAGATTTTTCTGTCAAGAATTAATCATTAACAGCCCGGTGTTGGAAACTTGGCGGTGTTTCACTACCGTGCCGAGGCAGAGCACTTGAAGCTCAATGTCAGTGCGTCTCTCACCTGTCGTGTTGACTTTTCGTCCCACTGCAGTTTGAGTACTTACACTCAAATTCACACTTTGGGAGAATAGAGAGTGCACTTGTGTTTAACGCGTACTTTTACACTTTGTATCCGAGTGATTGGCCGCAGTGGACTAAATCGATCAAACGGTCATTGTTATTATATCAATCTAAATACAAATATCTTTACATGTGGAATAGCAGGCAAATATACCAGCTGCAAAATATAGAAAATCTGTATTTTTCAGAACGTTTGGAAGCCAAAATATTTATTTTAGACTAACATTGCCCACGGCTCTGCCCGCGTTCAGATGACCAAAAACCAAATTCTTAGGTGTTACATACTAGTATACTCTTACAATGCAGTTTTTGTATTTTTTCTCAGAAATGATATATTTTCCCGCAGTAAAAAGTATCGTATATGTTGACCCGGATATCCAGCTATCATCATACCAAATTTCATCAAAATCCCTCCAGTGGGATTTCCGTGATGCGGTAACAGTCAGAAAGACAGACCTCTATATCGATAAAAATGTCTATTTCAATAAGATTTCCCAAAAAAAAATAATGTTACTAACTACTAAACTAATGTAAGATTCGGATTAGTTACAATTTTATAATATGTATAGATTAGTATCATTGATCGATTGTTCAAATAGTATTTCCATCCAAGAGAAAGTGAGAAAAAGATTCAAAGTTACAATTGAACTTTCAATGCGTTGTGAACTCTAGTAATTGGCTTAAAATTAAATGAGATTCTAAAGAAGGTTAGACACACCTAAGCGTTACAGCGTATCGTAATGCGTACGTCCCAACACTACAAGCATTGTCGATAATAGTTATTGTGACGTGTGTTTAACGAGAGATAAAATTAACGAGCATATTAATGAGTTTATCTATACATATAATAAAGTTGTAACTAAGCCGAATCTGTACATTAAATATTTTTTGGAAAATCTTATTGAAGTAGACATTATTATCGATACAGAGGCCGAATCTATAGTTTTTAGAAGTTTTGTCTATCTTTCTATCTGTCTTTCTGTTTGTTACCGCATCACAGAAAAATCACTGGAGGGATTTCGATGAAATTTAGTATGGTCATAGATGGTTATCCGGGTGAAATCAAAAATATGTCATTTCTGAGAAAAAAATACAAAAACTGCAAAGTAAGAGTATACTAATATGTAAAACCTAAGAATTTGGTTTTTGGTCATCTGAACGCGGGCGGAGCCGCGGGCAATGCTAGTTATTTCTATAATTAAAGAATAAAAATTGTAATAATTGTATTGAAAACAAATTGAATCATTGTCATAGAACAGAATATGCCAATCGTATATATATATATTAGATTTCTAAAATCCATGACTGAACAATGACAATCTTGTCTAAGCCCCTATAAGAGTTGCTACAGTTTTATTTGGGCTCCCGGGGGAGAAGCCAACTCCTACCGGGCGCGTCCCCAGGTGGCGGATAGGGGAATGCCACCCGCTTAGGGCGGCGGGTGGTACCGGAGAAATCCGGCGCGGACCAAATGGCTTGGGTGGGGCCGCTCGTCTAGGCCTCGAGCCGAAGACGTTGCGGCCACCGGTGGTGGGACCGCTTGTTCCACACCCGGATGATGGGTGCCGGTTACGAGACTGTGGTCGCAGGCCTGCATCCGGCGGAGAGGTAGGCCGCGGCGGGAGAGGAGTGCCGGTATTTCGGTGCGCCGTTCTCCCTACCTTCCGCGGCCTAGACGGGGCCGCCACCGTTTGATGGCGGACGCGGTGGGGCTGCAGGGGAAGAGGAGTGTCGGTGTTTCGTTGCCGCTCTCCCTGTCCTCTGCAGCCGATTGGAGGTGGCCCACTTCGGTGGGCGGAGGTTCAATTTAATGGGGCTGCTCCGGGTACCTCTCTGGTGTAGCAGAGTTGACTGTGGAGCAGCCCCATCGGTGTGGTGGTCAGCCGTTGGCAGACCTGCCGCCGGGGCGCCGTAGTAGTTATGCGCAAGCGATCCTGCGGCGTCCCATTAAGGCGGAGGGGAGGGGAATGTCGGGTTTTAGTGGGTAGTACCAGCTCTTCTAGCCGGTGAGCCCCACATCACCACCTGGGGGATCAGGTGGTATGCGTAAATGCATTTCCCGACATAAAAAAAAAAGTTTTATTTGGGCTGCTATTTAAAATGTAAATCTATTATGTTATCAATTGATATTCAAAAATATTGATCTATTAGATAATACCAGTTTGAAATATAAACATAAAAAGTAGTTGCTATGTATTGCTCGTTATGTTTGCCCTGCACGGGACTCAAACCGAAACTACTAATTTTATGAATTGAACGTACCTTTCTTATAAGTCCTGAAGGTGTCCCTCGCTGTGGTATATTGAATATCGTACACGAGAGTACTCTCTGGTAACAAACTCCTTTCTTTGTTAATCCTATAAACTGCGTATTTAAAGGCCAGCTCCGCACTACCTCCTCGAGCTTCTTCCGTGAAAATTGCTCCTGGAATATGACAATTCAATTCAATTCTCTGTTTTACTTATGAACATGCCAGGAGGCGTAGTTTTAGTCAATATCGTGTAACATGACGAAGAACGAATGATTTTAAATGTTCAAAAATTACTATTATATAAATAAGACTTAAGACGAATTTTATTTTCATCATAAAATCAGAAAGCAACTTGAATACAATGAGCTAAAACCTATTTCTGAAATTAAAATAAACTTTTAAACAGGATGCAAGAGTGTAATTGTTTATAATATATGTATGTTACTTAAACTATAAACATAGCAAAACAAAAAAATAGTCCAAAATAGACGCGGACAACGTCTGTGGTGTAACTGTGTATACTATTAAAAAATCCTATCTGTAGATGTTTAAAACTTGAGAGATAATTTTGGTTGTAGAACACCCACCAATTTTGACGACCGGTGAAAGAGCAGCTACAGCATTCAATGTGACCACGAGCCATCGCCACTCCCTCCACATATTGCAGCATCACTCCCGTATCCAGCATTCACCACCTGCAACCAGATTTCGTCTAAGATATTGCCACTATACCACGCGGACATGACTTCTCTATAGGTACACATAAAGAAATTCTGAGTCGAATCTGTATATTTTTTTTTTTTTGGAAAATAATATTGAAATATTCATTATTATCTATATATGTTTTTAGAATTTGTATCTTGTTACAGTCTTCAGTCAAAAAGTAGTTTATGGTCGAGATAATAGATGTCGCTACATGTCGCCATCACCTTTCTTTTAATGCTAATTTAATCGTTTGGTTTCAACAATAATTACTTGACAATTATCACTTTATTTTAAATTCAATTATAAATTATCTTGTGAACATATATAATATTTAAATAACATTTATGGAAAAATGGTAGATTATTTGTTTTCTGATAGAACTCGGAATATTAGATGCCGCCATTAGTTGGCGCTACTAATTATAGCTATTATCGAGCTTTTATCATTTAAAAATATGATTGTCTTATTTTGACCATCAGGTAAACACTAGTGGTAGCCCCTAAAAAATACATTAAAAATATTGTATGTATGTTGTGTATGTGTATGTATTCAGCCCTTTTTAACGTCCCACCGCTGGGCACGGCGCGGGTGGACTGAGCATGTCTGCAAGCAACTTGCTAGGTTTTCTCAGACATGCAAGTTTCCTCACGATGTTTTCCTTAGTGGTAAGTCAAGTGGTAATCATCATCATGAAAATATCAGAGGGATTTGAACCCGCACATACAAATAATAGTGTTTATTAATATTAAAGGTATAAGGTTTGCATAAGAGGTGTATTAAATTAAATCTTTATTAAGTTTTTTTATACTTTTTAGTTTATGAAGTCGGTTTTTTTAAACGAAGTTTTTTTTTATAAATGAATAACTAATACAACAAGAACTACACAAATAATTATTAATTAATAACAATCATTTCATAATTATTTTGACTCCTTAACTTGGCTGATATTACCACGGCTTCACTGATTTTGATGTTTTTTTATGTGTACTGGTTTTACCTGGATAATTTTTAGTAATTTATTAATTAATCATCATTGGAGCATGGCGCTATTGTCAAGATCTAGATTTTTAAATTTTCCAATCAAATTTGATCAGTGTCTGTATTTTATTAATTACTAGCGACTCACCATCGCTTCGCTCGGGTTCGTCCCTAGCTTGATTCCCCATACAAACTTTCATCCCCATTTTTACCCACTTAGGGAATGATTTCCAGGATAAAAAGTATCCTATATCCTTTCCAAGCGTCCAAATTATCTTCTTACCAAATTTTATCTAAATCGGTTCAGTACATCCAGAGATTACCCCCTACAACGTCACAAACTCACCAACTTTACCTCTTTATAATATTAGTATAGATTATTAGGTCTCTATAGTTATTCGGGGTTATTTTTGCGTTTTTCGCTCTACTTGCCAAAGATACTCCGGTCCCACCACATTGTACCAACGTGTTAAAACTAGTTGATTTACTATATTTTCTCCATTAACACAAGTTTTTAACATAAAACATAGTTTGAATAAGCAAACTGAAAGAAGTCAGAATGAAATAGGCTAAAAATTCCTCTTATCGTCTCTATCGGTGAGAAGAAAGCTCAGTCGTTTTTTGCCCAAGTATCAGCATTGCGATTCAAAGTTCTCACAGCGTTAATTAAAGACACTATAATATTTCATTTGGTAAGGGAGTCTTGGATAAATAAAAATAATTGGTTTATACTTCATTATGTATATAATTATTATTTAATACTTACTTAAATTTACGCGAATATTTGACATTTTAAATAAAACTATCTTTTCGGATTTTTTCGCGGATTTTTGGAGAACCAAAAATCCAAATAAATCCGCGAAAAAATTCGAAAAGATAGTTAGTTTTATTTAAAATTATTATTTACTTGTAGATGTGAAGTTTATAATTATGTGTTAATTATGTACGATGCCCGCAGAAAAAAGACCAAAATTTAATAATAATCATAAAAACTATAAATTAACTTATAATTATAAACAACAACTTCTAGATGTTAGAATCGAGAGTGTCTATTTCATAAAAAACTATATTCAAAAATATTTTTTATAATAAGCATATTACATGAAACTAATTTTCGATATCCTATTTTACCATGAGCCATTTAGGAGTTACGAGAGAACATAGATTCGGACATACATATAGGTCTAACACATAACCCTTTCAGGCTTCGGCGTAGTGGGATAAAAAATTCTCATTATTCTTCGTGAACAATGAAATGAAATGGTATCAATCAAAAGGCACAATTTGAGCTTTCACCTCTCAAGCGGGGATCATATCCGGGAACTAATTAACAATACGGACAAGTAAAGGTCTACGACTTGTATGACAAAAGGCTTAAAATGTTCTATCCTGTGTTGTAAACGTATATCCTTGACAATCCTAGTTTCTACATATGTAAATATATTCGCCATCATATACGGGGTCACGTACATTAATATTTATGAGAGCACTAATGGCGTTGAATATTTGGATGTACGCTTCCATAAGCCCAGCTCTTCTCCTTTAATAACGCGATATAGAGCTATATGACGGCGGCTATATACGACGTCACGGGTAGAAGGATGAACACTTTACGACCTATTCTCATGCCTACCAAATATACAAAAAAATCATTAAAATCGGTCGAGCCGTTTCGGAGGAGTGAGACCAACAAACATCGTGACACGAGATATTTATATATTAGAAGATCAGATTAGAAGTGCCAAAGCCCTTGTGTTAGCATGAATGGTCAACGCCATCTATCGTTTTTCTAGGGAATGGTCCAGAAGAAGTAAGTAAGTATAAGTGTAAATGTCTAATTTCTTTATACAGGGTGTGGTATCTGTATTAATATAGTATTGTAAAGAAGTAGGTCCGTAATTTTGCATTTCAGTCAAATTAGCCAGTAGTACATCCTGGTTAATTCAAGGTTTGCTTGTTCAAGCATTCAGAATTCAATGCTTTAACTAATCGCATTGATATGCGATCGTTCATGTCATTTCCATTGTCATGGAAAGGGACGTAAAATTTATCCCGGAATATCAAATAGTTCCCGTGGAATGGTGGAAGATTTAAATTGAAATTATTAATATATCTATTTATTGAGTTTAGGTAAAACGCGAAGGACGAGGAGAAAATTGTTTAGATTACTATTTAATTATGGAATTAATTTATGATTAACATTATAAAGGCATCTTATTGGTGTTCAATTCATTCAAGGTAGTCCTAGGTTTTGCTTTTGGTGCAATTTCATTGGTTTTAATTTTATCCGCAGAAACCTTATTTTTTTCTTAAATAAAAGTAGCCAAAGTCACTCCTTATAATAATAGCTATCTGCCAGTGAAAATCCCGTTAAAAACAAGCCAGCCGTTTCGGAGATTAGCCGGAACAAGCAGACAAACGGACATTTTAAAAATTGTTTTTTTTTATTATAAGTACCGTATATACTGTCATAACTCATATGCATTTATTAAATAGCTGTTATTTATATTATATACTAGGTCTCTTCTACCATACAAACTTTCATCCCCATTTTCACTCCCTTAAGGGATAATTTCCGGAATAAAAACTATCTCCTTATCAAATTTCTTCTTAATCGGTTCAATAGTTTCGGAACCTATTCGATATAAAGAAAAAAACAAATTTTTATTTTTTTATAATATTATTAGAATAGATATATTTATTTGTATAGATGTTTTTTGTTAAAATTATATCTCTGAGGACGAAATAATTACTTTAATTACAGTATAGGTATATTTTTAGTCAAAATGTTAAACAGCATACTCGTATTCTGATATATATTATTCAATAAATAATTCGCTATAAAAGCGATAAATGAAGTGAAGAATCAACCTTATATATAATATTTTGTATTTATGACACCAAATTGTAAAGAAATATTCGGAATACGTGCTGAGTTTTTTTATGATAAGCTATAAAATATATTATACATATAAGGTATCCTATATGTTGACCCGGATAACCAGCTATCATCATATTAAATTTCATCAAAATCCCTCCAGTAGTTTTTCCGTGATGCGGTAACAGACAGACAGACAAAAATTCTAAAAACTATAGATTCTGCTTCTGTATTGATAATAATGACTATTGCAATAAGATTTTCCAAAAAATATTTAATGTACAGATTAAACTCAGAATTGTATTATATGTTTTTATTTGAATGTTGTGTACAGATATAATTGGACAACAAATTTAAAATGATATTTTTAGTGTTTAATACGTAGATGTAACTTTTTTAACTTGTTTCCTGTTTCTGTACCTAAATAAATAAAATAAAACAAAATAAAAATATGCATAAATCTATATTTGTTGTACGAGTATATTAATTACCCACTCTGGCTTCACAAATCCAAAGCTATTATTTTGAATTTTATAATCCTACTTTTTTCTTTTAAAGTATACCTTTAAGTTTTATTTTTAACTAGCGATTCACCCTCGCTTTGCTTTACATTGACATAACTTTTTTATTTATATACCGATTGAAATAAATCAAATACTAAATGTTAAGTGAAGCTTGCCACAATACATTAGTGGAAACCGCACCCAAATCGGTTAAGCCGTTTCTGAGATTTTCACAAACGCACAGACAAAAATTGTAAAAATCATTGTTTTGGGTTCTATCGCGTCAATAAACACCCCCAATAATAATTTTTCTCAAATATCTTACATGTACAGATAACGATCAGTTACATTTTTATTATATGTATTGGTTTTTATTGAAATCGATTACGAGTTTAACTTGGAAACCAAACAAACAGACAGAGTCACTTTCATATTTATATTACCATAGGTATAATTTAGTTTTAAATATTTGTTCATTACATTTATATCTAACTGGCATTCCTTTCCATTCATAAGATCGCCCCTTCGATATCTGCGTGAGGCGAATATAATTATTTATATTATGCAGATGCTTGGGTCCGATCTATTGAAGATGT